AGGAGAAAACTACCTTAATCTAGGCTGAGATAAGGAAATCCTGAACACAACTGGTAGCTGTTGCAAAGGAGAGGCAAGGACAAGTAGGATACTTTTTATAGGAATAGAAGGAGCTAAATTTGCTCTGAATAGTTGAGGACGTGAAGTAAAGCTCATTAAAAAGGCAAATATAGTGAATAAGAAGGCTGAACCCATGATTTACCATCCAAATAAGGACCCTGCTCAGACTGAAATGGGGCATTGCCAATTACCAGGCCAGAACAGCAGATTGCCAGTCTTGGGCAAATCAGGATTTCTGACCATCCTACCTGAAAAGAGCTTTAACTGCCAACATAGAGGAGGACTCAGATTCACACAATCAATTTGATCTCCAACTCTCGCCCCAAGCTTCTGAAAGTTAAGGACATTAAAATGAAGCCACCATCCAGGGATAAGAATAAAAAGCTGCTGTTGAGACACATAGGGGAATAACCAGAGAGGTAAGGTGGAAAATACAAGGCCTCTGAAATTCAATCTATGCTACTGAGTCACTGGATTTCTCAGTTATCTTTTCAATAGGTCACATCCCAATTGGGAACCTCCTTGCTTATAGCATTTCAAGGACCAAATGGCTTTAAAACAACTACTACCACCCCTTTATTTCCTTCAAGTCTTCAATCTCCAGATCCTATGTCCATGAAGGGCTAGTGAAGTTGACAAGTTACTAGGGTGGGGGGTGGCAGTGGGGACAACAGGGTTGGGGCTGGGTGTGTGGGTATAGCATGGACCCTAAGCAGAATGCACCAGCTGGCTAGTGGGCTGGAACCAGTCCTGCACACATGTACCTATGGTCATGGGAAAGATACTTAGTCCTTGAAGCTGCTCCCATAAGAGGGGAAATAACCACACAGAGACAGGTGTCTTCCACATGGGTAGGGCAGAATGAGGAAGGAGTGTGTGAGGTCTTGGCAGGCAGATCAATATCAGTGGGTTCAAGATTTTGGCAGCAGGACATATGCGCTCTCCTCCCCAGCTGAGCTATAGCAGGGCTGGGGGACCAGAAATAGGCAAGGCCTGGAAGAGATTTCTATTCCTCCCTTCTCGGTTCAGAGATTACTTCAATACTTATAGTCTGATCATCCCATACAACATTTATACATTGTATACTAGGGTGGTGTGTGGGGCTATTTTCTTTACTAAACTGAAGACCATCAGCATGGACTCTGTTGGTCACGGTTCTTGGCACAGGGTATTACTTGAATGAAGGCACACATCCATGGCTACTTTCTGTGCTTTGTAGTGACCACCTAAAATTCCTTCATCTTCCATTTCCTATCCCTTATTAGAAAAGCAGGTAGACATCAGTGACTCCTCACCCTACATAAGAACCACAACTAAACCTTCAGTTTTATCTACATAATCCACACCTTATCCTGAAACTAGCAGTTCCCCAAACAAGGTTAAACCTTCAGTTTTCCTTAAGAGCAGTTCTTTCCTGCTCCCTCTCCTCCT